GTCTGCAACACGGCCCTTTATAACAAGGGGACAAGGGGAGTCATGACTTGTGCTCCTATACATTCCTTGTTTAACCCCCCCAAAACAAGCCCTCAGTTACAATATTTATTGTTGACATTACCTTAAATTCCAGAGTGCAAAAGGCATCTTCAGCATACTTCAGTTTCAGACCAGATCCAAAGTCAGTTGTGAAATCCAGGTGAGGTCCCATGACCACTCGACCCTCCGAGTCCAAGGAATAAGACTAAAAGGGGGAAAGAAGGACTAAATTAGAGGTGTTTGTGAATAATTAAATTTTTTTGTAGAAACAAAGTTGACATTCCATGCTCTGCCTATTAAAAACCAAGCAAACAAACACACATGCCCAGTAAAATTGCTAATAAAAATAAAAACTATAGTTTAAAAAAAATCGTTGTCTAATATTTACTACTACTGGAGGTACTGGTGGAACTTCTGGAAGAAGAAAAAGAGTTTGTACAAGAAACTGCTCACAACAAATTTGTGAAAAACTTGACATTTAAAAATCTAATAAAAATGAGGAAGGCATCAACATTACCTTTAATAATCAAGCGAGGGGTGATTGGTAGCATCAGTGTTTCAACATCAATGGCTGTGGCTGCAAAAAAATATGAATATAATAAGAGTAGAATAAGACTCAACCTAACACACGCACACACACACACATACTCATATATATATATATATATATATATATATATATATATATATATATATATATATATATATATATATATAGGTTTAGATTGTGATAATGAATTTAGGTTATATTTGAGTGCTCAGAATTTACACTCACCTCACACTTCAGCTATCAGGTACACCTGAACACCAAAAAATAAAATCTACAGTTAGTGACAATATACAATTAGTTCTCATTAGTAAATGTTAGCAATGCATTAACACCAGTGAGAAATATACAATATGTACTGTGTTAGTGTTAGTTTAAAAGAATACAACTGAATTGTATTATAAGCCTCATTTAATAAAACAGTTAAGACTTGTTTCATAATGAGTTTAGTTTATTTAACTAACTTAACGTTAACGTTACAGTGAACAAAATTAACGTACATGATGGTGACTAACGTAACCGTAACGTTAACTTAAGTAAAGGTCAGAGCTTACCTTAACTTTAGTCATTTCACCTTTACTTCAGTCTTGTACTGAAACAGAAAATGCAGTTAACAAGAAGTTAATTAAAGAAAATTCCCTTTCTTTTTTCAGGAACTAACGTTAACGTTATGCTAATACCTCAGAAAACACTACAATCACCATCTGGTGTCGTTAATTTCTTGTTTTAAAAAAAGGCGCGCTTAAACCCTGTCCGTGCGAGTACAACTGAAGTACTCGGTAAATTCCTGTTAAATGACATGCCCTATACAGAAATACACATACAACAATCATTTAACGGACAAAAGTCATATTTTAACACTTACCGAGGATGAATCCGTTGGGTGAAGAGACGAGGCAGGCGTTGTCTATGGTGATGGCGCTTGTTTGCGGTCGAGTCGAGTCAGTTCTGTTAAATGAATCGGCTCCTTTAAGTGAACAGTAAAGAATCGAATTCGCCTGAAAACGATTCCGTTTTGTATAATATTGTAAGACGCAAACATATAATTCATTAATATTTCATCATATTGCTTGGTTCGTGTACTGCTTGTACACGAATTGCTTGTTGATGACTATGAGCTCATGAACACGTCTGATAAAATATCTGAATCTGATTCAATTTCAAACGAGTCCTGAACCGAAGCAGTGCAAAAGTAATATATTGATTGAAATATAAAGTTAATTATTTTCTTCGCCATTCAAAATATTACATATCTCTGATTTTAACAATAAGAATAAAGTTCGTTTGGAGTGTATTGAGAATTATTATTTTTTCCTCCCAGGATTCATTTTGCACCAAGCTGCATCAAGCTGTAATGGTGGATGAGAAGGCACATAATATTATAAATATTGCTTGTAATATGTAATGAAATAAAGTTTTAACACTTTTTCATGCGAGAATGTAGTTCTTCAAAACTCAAATCTGTGGATTGTTAGTAAAGATTGTGTGTAATTTTAAGTGTGTTTTGCCGGTAGCGGAGATCTATGACCTCCTGGCGGTAACGGCGCTCATTACTCATGTATCCGCCGAGAGGCGCCTGTCTTCAGGCTAGACATTGGGACAATTGCCCCGTCTTCGATGGCTCTATATGCGTCCGAAAATAAAGTTTTAACTGTTTTTCATGCTAGAATGTAGTTGTTTAAAACTCTAATCTGTGGTTTATTTATATAGATAAAAAATTATATATATATATTTAATTCTAAATTAAAGATTAGTGACCTCCAGGCGATGACAGGTGCCCAATACTCATGAAACCGTCTAAAGCAGACTTACCCTGACATTGAAATAATTGTTGGCTGTTTAACAGTCTTTGGTTTCATTAATTAATTACTTTTTATTCCAGTTTATTATGTTTTGGCTAAGCACACAGTTATGTTCATTAAATATTATTTCCTATTCTATGTTAACTGTATAAAATTAAATAAAGGTGCAGTACAACCAAATAGATGTTGGTAACCAAATCGTTTTGGGGGCTATAACATTCTGTTATTATCTGTTAAAAGTTCATTTGTATTAATTTCTACGTTGAATTAAAAAAGGTTTGAATTTCTATAACTAACGTGCAAAAGATATAGCCCTTTTCACAGTAATTTGCTGTAATCATGCTACCTGCTGTAATTTCACAATAAAATTATGAATACAACATATTACTGTGAATTTTTCAGTTAAATACTGTGAAGGGATACTAATGTAATTTACTGTGAAAAATTACAGTAACTTGTTGTGAAAACCTGGAAATTTTTTACAGTGTGTGTTTACACTGGTAATTTGTAATTCATATATCTCGCAATAATGAAAAGCACAAATTACTTCACATTGATCTATTTCTACACCTGCATTGAAATGCATGGATCAAACACTAAAATGCATGGGATGAATACTATGCTGAGAAACACCAGACATATTTGCATACTGTCCTTTTTGAGTTAAATCCTTTGTCCTATTGTTATTTGGTTAATTTGGTCCATGCTCATGTTCATTCACTCCAACCGCCAAAGAATGTGTGAAGCAGACTTTTCATCATTCTCTGTCTGCTATAGTGATAACAAAGGCTTCGTGTTCAGATTTAGTTGAATACACCAAACTAATTAGGTTTTTGCACATTGCAACTAAGATTCATCATAAAAACTTATTTAAGAATAACTTAAAATAACTCGTGTTTACAAAAAAAAACACACACTAAATGTTCATATAATACAGTTTTTTCTACATTTTTAACAAAACACTTTATAATATCTTATAACACCAATGCCAGTGGTTCACTACTGTATATGATTCACTCACTTATTCTCAGCTTGTTACGAATCGGATCCTCTCAAGTGAGCTTGGATGAATGAGTCAGTGAGTTATTCACTCAAGAAATGATTGGATTGACTTGTAAATGATTCATTCAAGCAGTTTTTATGGGCCATTTGACTGACATACAAAGAGATTCGACTTTTTTTCATTTATTTGTATTATTTGTCTTTATGTATGTAATTGCATTTGATCTACCTCTTTACTCTAATAAAAAGTGTTTATGATTCAATTAAAAGAGTCATCTCTTAAGAGACATTTGTTTATGAATCAGAATAAACTAATTGTGCTGTTTGTTTATGATCGTTTATGATTCACTAAAAAGAACCAGTTCATAAGAGTCATTTGTATGTAAATCATGTCTTAATTTTCATGATCGATTTCTGTCCTTTCCATACAAACTTATTGATTAACCTTTTCTGATTTGATTGATTCATTTGTTTAATAAATCAGACCAGGGTGGCGCGGTGGAGTAGGTAGTGCTGTCGCCTCACAGCAAGAAGGTCTCTGGTTTGAGCCTCAGCTGGGTCACTTGGAGCTGGAAGGGCATCCGTTGTGTAAAACATGTGCTGTATAAGTTGGCAGTTCATTCCGCTGTGACGACCCCGGATTAATAAAGGGACTAAGCCAAAAAAAGAAAATGAATGACTGAATGAATGAATCAGACCACATATGGCCATTTATGATTCAATTAAGAGCCAGTTCGTAATAGCCATTTGTTCATAAATCTGAATAAACTGAATGTGCTGTTTGTTCCTGATCGTTTATGATTCACTAAAAAGAATCAGTTAAGAGTCATTTGTTTGTGAATCATGTCTTGTTATGATTGTTTTCTGTCCTTTCCATAAGAGCTTATCGATAAACCTTTACTGATTCGAATATGATTCATTTGTTCATGAATCACACACATTTGACTGTTTATGATTCAATTAAAAGAGTCCATTTTTAAGAGCCATTTGATAATTAATCAGAATAAACTAATTGAGCTACAGGTTTTTGATCGTTTAAGATTCACTAAAGAGAACCAGTTTATAAGAGTCATTTCTTTGTGAATCATGTCTTATTTTTCATGATCATTTTCTGTCTTTTCCATAAGAACTCATTGATAAACCTTTTTTTTTTTTGATTGATTCATTTGTTCATAAATCAGACGACATATGACCATTTATGATTCAATTAAGAGTCAGTTCATAATATTTGTTCATAAATCAGAATTAACAGAATGTGCTGTATGATTCTGGTCGTTTATAATTCACTAAAAAGAACCTCGTCATAAGAAAAAAAAATAGAAGATTCGACTCTTAAGAATCCTTTATTCACGAATCCCAATGAACTGCATATGGTGCAGTTGGCACTCAATCAACTGGTCCTCCTTGCTCTTCGCCCACACCTCAACCCCCTGCCGCCTTTCATGCCAATGATGTCATTCTATCTTAACGGCTTAGGGGCGGAGCCACAGAAGGCAGCTCCGCCCTCTGAGCCAATCGCGATCGAGCACAACAGCTCCAGCAGCGCGTGTCCAGAGTCTGTGGGAGGATCTAACGGCAGCGCTCCGCTCCTCCACCGCCAGCAAACACTTCAACACACTGCGCCAAGCAAAATCGAAACCTTCAGCGCTGAAACTTCTGTCCGATAACAAGGTAAGAGTTAATTTATAAAGCACCGCGGGCTGGCATTAGCTCCGATTAGATACTGGATCAAGCAAGAGGCATTTTTAACGGCCAAACACTTCTGCAGAGAGCAAAGAAGTAGGTGTTGGCTTCAGAAAAGCGTCTTTTATGAAGATCAACAACTTGACGGGTTTCTTTAAAAGCGCAGAAAGCGAATACAGACCTGTTTTAATTGTGATCTAAGAGGACTCAAAAGCGTCGCTGAAGTTGCTGTGTGTTTCGTGGCGGTCACCACCTGTTTTCAAGCGCTGCTTGGTAGGGCAGTGTTTGTTTTTGGCCACAGCTCTAGATTCAGATGGATTTGGCTAAGAGTGAGACAACACCCATGTTGAACACCCCACACCGTTGTTGTTAAACATTATTAGGTTATAAATTAGTTCAGAAATATCAACATAACCATAGACTTGGCATATGAACGCATGCGATACCGTTCATTCATTAGTAAAACTTGAGGATGAAAGACCGCGCCTTGAAACAAAACAACTTACGTTAACTTTCAGTCTGTTTTTGAACTTTGCAGCACAAAGTGTGTGATGAATGATATCAGGCTAACTTACAAATGTGTGCACTATGCGTTCATCCTAAACTTTTAAAAAATGTCAGTGAAGTGGTGCGTAATTTAAATGATTAAATCATTTTCTTGAAGGGACTATTCAAATTGCTAAATTTTTTTTCTAATGGCTGCTTACAGATACCTTTGAGGAAATACTGAAATATGCACTTACCTGAGTTGAATTATATACTCTTCCTAATTTATTTTTTAAAGCATATTTATTCTTACGTTACATTTGATCACGTCTCCCTGTTGAACGCCGCCATGTTGGTGTCACATGACATGCTTTTAGATAAGTTGCATTCAGGTCATATTTTGATTAATGACCATAACTAACGTTACAAGATTCCGACTAGTAAAAATCGTGATAATTTCTCACATTTTTTAGAAGTGTGAACTTAGTTTCAGAGAGATTATGTAATAAGATCTAGAACATATTTATATAGTGCTTGCAGTTATTTATAATGATTGACTTTATAGGCCTGGGCCGGTAAAAGATTCTGACGGTATGATAACCTTGGATATAAATATCATGGTTTCATGTTATTGTGATTACTGCTCTAAAATATATTATTTTTAATTTTCTGAGTAAAAAACAAAAATTTTTCCCCTTTGTACAAAACATTTTATTTTGAGAAACAATTTTTAAAAAATTGGAGAAGTAAACAAGTTCATGTCGTTAGGAAAAGTATACCAGAAAATTGGGCGGTTTTAAAACCTTGACTTTTCCAAACCGTGGTATATCTTGAAAATGGTTATGGTTCCATGCCTAGTCACTCACAGCCTTGTTTTCTTCAGTTTTAAATGGATGGTTCACCAATGAGTTGAATATCTTTAATTATGCTCCCTCATGTTGTTACAAACCCCTAAGACTCTCATTCCAGTATGTTTGTAACACAAATTAAGATATTGTTGATAAAAATCACAGAGCTCTCTGACCGTCCAGACAGCAGGCACCATGAAACATTTAATGCCCAGAAAGATACCAAGAACATGAGGGTGTGTATTTGATAGAAGAATTTTCATTTTTGTGTGATTTACTATCCCTTTAAACACAATATGAAGGAAATAATTTGCCCATTATATCAGTATATAACATATAGAGGGTGGCACTATGGTGTAGTGAGTAGCGCTGTCACCTCATAGCAAGAAGGTCGCTGGTTCGAGCCCTGGCTGGGTCAGTTGGCATTTCTTTATGGAGTTTGCATGTTTTTCTCATGTTTGCGTAGATTTCCTTCAGGTGCTCTGGTTTCCCCCTCAAGTCCAAAGACATGCGCTATAGGTGATTTGAATAGGCTAAATTGTCTGTAGTGTATGTCCTGGTCCACCTGGTTGGGGGTTAAGTGTTGGACTAATGACCCTCCTCATAATAATGAGATATTACGGAACACCAACATGGTGCGGCTAAATATCGACTTCGATATATGTAAACGGCCCAGGGAGTAAGTAGCTAACAAATAGAACAAGGCGTCAGTTGATTCTTTCTTTTTTGTGTGTGTCACGTTGTATCCTGTGTAGACCGTATCCATAAAAATAATGTTTTTTATTGTTGTGACTTGTGAGGCATGCCACTCACATCTGGTGTTGACATAGTGTAGGATCTTAAGATCCATACAGCTGACTCTGGTTTATGGACATTTGTATTATGAAAAAAGCAACCATAAGATTAAAATCTTGCAATTTGAAGGGATTGTTTATGTCAAAACGTTATGTTATGTTTTATTTAAAAATGCTACTTTTTAACTTGGTAATCTGAAAACTAATTAAAAGTAAAAGGTTCCGTACAGACATTAGCTTATACATTATCCTTGATCATTCAATAACTTGTAATTAATTAACTGCTATTTTTATCTGTATAAAAAAACATTTAATAAGCCATCACAGAATAGATTTTCAAGAACCTGTTATTATTATCTGGGATTTCCTTGTTTGTCCTTGACCCAAGAATGTTTTGGTCAGAAACAGCTGCTCAGTTTTGTCGGCTACTGAAAGCGAAATGTTCATCTGTTTCATTTAAAAACTTGTTAGACAGGAATGATTCAGGTGTTTGTGTTTGAAGCAGTGCCTGTATGAAAACTTCCTTGCTTGTGTAGTTGTGTTCGGGAAGGAAGCTGCAGGAATTTCCGAGGTATTCTATCTGAGAAATACCACCTCCACATTAGGACGTTGTTTACATCTCCAGATATTTTTTGCTTTGATTCAAAATGTAAAGACCAAGCATTTCTGGGACTGCTAAAGAGTCAAGCATGAATTAAAATGACTCGCAGCCTAACTATTTACCAATTATTTTATATTTTTTAATCTGTTGACTGTGAGGGTATATTGATTAGAATGTCTCAGTGTGCCAGTCAGGATAAGCAGGCAGTGCCAACAGGTGTGTGCCTACAGCCACAACACACACTTTATATGAGAGGTGCAGGTCGATATCTGGGTCATTATTCAGTTCAAACATCAAAGTATAGCTCACCCGTTTGATTCAGAAGCGGCCTTCAGGGCCTTAGTGGACATGAAGCTATAGATAGCAAGGTTTTGTGATGTAAACTCTGCCCATGCTAAATATTTGTAAAATAATAAAAACTGAGCTCACATTCTGTCTATTAATGAATTATTTATGTGTTTACTGAGTGTTAAAGGACAGGGAGGTTTGTTTGTTTATGTTTGTCTTTCATAAGCAGCATGTTTTAGAGAGCTGTTTCCTGCATGCTAAAATCAAGTAGTCCTCTGGGCCGTTTTCTTCTCCAGATGTGTTATCAGGCCGTTTGTGAAGTAGAGGAATGCTTGCTTCCACCCTATCCAATTTTCTTCAATTTGTAAGTTAGAAGTGTGAAGTTTTTTTACCACCAAGTGCCATAAGTAATGGATAAAAAAAAAAGTTTTAGACTTTTATATTAAGTGCCCATGTTATGGAAAAATAAGTCTCGAACAACAGACTAATATGCAAACAGGGTCAAATACTTTTTTTAATTGTCTTTTAATATGCATTTTTATTTACCTAGTTATCCCAATGACTCCTTTATGTTTTGTTCAGCAAATAGTTTTCTTTTGTTGAAAGACGGCATCTATATTGGGCTATGGTAATTTCAAGACTGATTTGAATCCAATGTCTTTAGCTCTTAACATTTACTTGAGACATTACTGACTGGTTATGAGGATACCCATTGGGGGTCCATTCTTTGTAGCTCATTAAAAAAATTTAAAATGATCTTTCAGATCATTGATGTTTTAACCCTGTGAACTGATATTTGGCTAATAGTTCTTCAAAAATGTTGTGAATCAGATTAAATTGTTGGGATGAATTGGTTTGAGATTGTGTTTGGTATGTGCTCGTGTTTGATGTGAGGGACAGGTCAATTGATATTCAAAAGCATGATTAGCAAATTATTAGAAGTATTAGCAGCTTAATGACATCATCTCATTAATTATCATTAGCCATTGTAGCAAAATTACAAAATTTGTTGTAAATGACACAGTTTGTTAAATATGATATTCAAGAACTGTCCACATTTGTTTTGGGCTATTTGTACAGGCCTTACACATTTTTTGGGATTGCATTCAAGTTTGTTAATCCCGTGGCATGAAGCCTCATTCACACTACAAGCGACTCGCAGCTGCAAAGCAACAAGTGACCACTCATTTAATTGGGCAACTTCCGGCAACTTCCATCTACGTCAGTGACCACGATCATTGGCAACCAGGTGGACATGTCCAGCAACGCGACTAATGCAGAGTTCAGACTTTATGATTTTTATAGTTGTGGTGTCACAAATGTTTTCTCACTGCATGACTATCTGGGGTAGTGTTCTTTCTGTGCTGTGTTTACACTGTAGGATGGATCGGCTACAGGGGGTTTCTCACTGCATGACTTTAAAATTTTATCTACACAAAATGCATGTGAGCTTGAACTACATACAACTAGAAATGGTGGATGCGGTTCTCCCGTTACAGGACACTTTCAAAACTAGGGCAGCTAAAGCTCCACAGAGGAGAAAAAAAATATATATATCTATATCTATATATATATATATATATATATATTACAGTATTATCCCCTTCAATACGTGTCTTATTTCTATAAAAATTTTGGATCAGTTTTTAAAACTATAACCTACCTTTTTCTATATTGTAGACAGCAACAATAAAAAACACACATCATACACTGCATTTCAGTTATTTTATTCAACTGACTTTTTTACCAAAACTAAAGAGACACATGGCTTCTGGTGTGTGACCCCCCTATACTCAATCTGCGCTCAGGTCTCTTCTCTAGACTGCAACTCCTTGCAGCCATAACCAATCAAATATCAGACCACCGCCCAAATACCAGCATAAGCATAACCAATCAGAAAGAAAACAGTTTAATTTTAGAGCCAATTGGTCATTGCTTTCATGCTTGATCATCTCTGATGCAATAGAGTAG